TATTCCTCTACCCAGAGTGGGTGATAGAATGCCTCCTACAATTTAGCATGGTAACTCAGATTTGGCTGAAAGCTGTCCTTTGGTTATCTCGTAGGTAAAATAGGGATACAAAGGCCAGACACCTGTAGAAAGGGATACTGATATTATCATTTCCTTCCCTCAGAAATGCAATGAGAAAAAAATGTCTGACTGCCTCAGAGAGATTAAGGCCATTACTATGATGATACAGTTTAGAAATAGGAAGCACTTATTGCCTCTTTTTGGCATGAGGATTATCATGCCAAAACATCTTGGTGATCTATCTAGTCCTGTATCAGGTCTCAGATACAAACCAGTACTTGAAGCTTCAGAGAATGGCACAAGAAACCCTACCATGGTTCGATATATTCATTAAGAGGGAAGAAGTTCTGAATGAATAATGAAGTGCAAAAACTTGCTGATGACAAAACTATTGTGGGGAAATGGAGACAATTGGGCAACATGACAGCAAATTACTTTAGTTGTAGACAGCTGCAAGGTAATGCAAATCAGATGGAACAAATTAATCTATGTATGTATATTGATGGGTTCTGAATTAGTTGTCACCTTCCAGGAGAGAAAAAAAGATATAGGCAGCAGTGTGGAAGCTCATTGAAGATGTCTGTTCAATGTGCAGCATCAGTCAGAAATTAATTAGCTATTGAACTGTTTTAAAATGAGAATAGAGAAGATCTAAGAAGAAATATACTGCTATTATATACATTTTTGCCTAATCCATCACTGCTTTGGATACTACGTTAGTTTTTGGATACTTCAACCTTCTTTTAGAATCTGAAAAAAGAAAATGTACCAGAAATAAAGAGGAGAGAGGGAGAAACCCTGAGAGCCCACAAAAGTTGTATAAGTATAAGCTGTGGTCGTAATACAAGGTGTATGCAGGAAGCCCTATTCTGAGAACCAGCAGCCATCACAGGGACTCTTGCATAACCCTGGTTGAAGAATGAGCTTAAATGGGAACTAGCTCCTCTATGATGAGGGTAAAATACCTTGGGGCCAAATCTGTGGCTGCAACAAGGTATCCTATAATGAAGTAAATGAATGTTGCCTGCTTAACTGAATGGGAAGTTAGGCTCTGAGAGAGAAGAATATTAAGAGAAGACAATACATTCTTTCGAGCAAGGAGTGTTCTTTATTCTGTCCTTGTACAAGGTCTGACACGAAGGGCCCCTACTCCTGATCTGTGGGACATAACTTGGTCATCAGCTAGGCAAGAAAAAAATGCCCTGTGGTAGTGTATCATATTACATAATTAGGAGGTTTGTCTTTGTTTGAAGTATTGTGCTTTGGTCTCTGGAGACAGGATGTTAGAAAAGATTGGCATTATGGCAATTACTTTATTGCTATGGCTACATACAGACATTGCACATAAACTGGTATAAGTGACCCAAAGCCAGGCGAAACCTGAAATAGAACAGAAGTTCAGAACACACACATCAGTTTCAGAATGGTAGAACCTGATCTAAGATAGACCTGGATAGATGTAGTACTAGACTTAATCAGTTTAGGTTAGAGCAGTATATTGAACTTGCATCCCAAAACCCATAGCAAATCCCCTTAGTTCACTGTCCTTCATCATCCCAAGTACCCCTTGCAGTGCAGTATGCTAGCCTCAGCTGGTGCTCATCTGCTCAGGTGAGAGCTGAGCTCTGGGCTGTCACAGACAGAAGCCAAAAAAGCCTTTGTCTCCTGCCAGAGCCCCCCCTGCCACATGGACTCTGCCCGTAGTCAGCACAGCAAGGGGTAGGGGGCTCATGTGGCAGGGGCTCTTTTCCCCCTCTACCTGCCCAGGAGCAGTGGCTTTCTGTGGCACCGAGAGCAAGTAGTGGGGAGGGGGGCGTGGAACCCCCATGTGCGGGCTTCCCCCAGATTGCTGGCTCGGGACTGGGAGGATCTGGGCTGGGTCCATGCAGGGAGGGTTCGGGTCCCCCTCTCCCCACGCCTGGTTCCCAGTACCACAAACAGCATACAGCTCCAAGCTGAGTGCCCATGGCTGTAGCGAGAAGGCACCATGCTGTATGTTAATCAGCATTTGGCTGGCAATAGCAGGTGCTTCAGGTGAACTGCATAGCACTGCTATCATTGTGAACAGTGAGTCTGCTCAGTGATTCTAGTATACGGCTATGGGAGTTCCCCAGCCTCTCACCACAGCATGTGGCTCTGAGCCATGGCTGCTGACTGCAGCTGTCAGGAAAGACGGGGGGGGGGGGGGGGGGGGAGACGTGGAGCCCCCCTGCTGCACAGGCCTGGCCCTGAGCCAGCACATCTGGGGAGGCTTGCATGACAGGGGGCTCTCCCCCCTGTTTCCTGACCCAACGGACAGCCACAGCCAGGAGCTGACTTGCTGCTCACAGTGATAGCAGTGCTGTGTAGTTCACCTGAAAAGCCTGCTGCTGCCAGCCAATTGCTGATTAACGTACAGCGTGGTGCCTTCTCACTGCAGTCATGGGCACTCAGCTCAGAGCCAGGATGTCCATGGTGCTGGGAATCAGGGGTGCGGAGATGAGAAGCAGAGCCCTGCACTGCAAAGGTCTGGTCCAGCAACCCCTCGCTCTGAGCCAGCAACCTGGGGAAGGGGGGTCCTGCATGGCTATTGATTACAATAGTTCCATCAAATACTTCTCCTTTCAAGTCCTGATCATCTTTGATAGCTGAATGTGTTCCTTTGATTGTTCCAGCTGAATTTTATGAAAACACAATGAATGTAAGGTATCTGGTAAGAAATGGTGACCAAATTGAAATGGGTTAAAGTATTATGTAGTCCCACAGTGGAGTAAAGGTGACCATTAACAGCACAAAGCTAATGCAATACCAGGCTGCATATGCAGAAGAGTTAGCAGCCCATGAAATTAAATTATGCATTTAGAAAGTGCTCAATCTAGCAATGACAGATATTAATTGCAGAAATAATTGTCCACTTTTAAAGACATTTAGTCAAAGAGACTAAACTCGCTGTACACATGCCAGTTTCAATGTATGGCTATAAACCATCCTAAATCACTTTAGAAACCTGGTGTTAAAATGAATCAAGACTCCGTTTTGTAATAGACTGCCAATGTGGGCTCACCAGATTGGCTGAGATACTTCCCCTGGGCTAGAAACAGTGCTGGTGAACTCTGAGCAACCCGAAGGGTGGAGTAGGGGAGCCCTGCCCTGTGGAAAAGGAGAAGCCAATCGAAAGAAGGGGTTTTCAATCCCCTCATTTGCCTGGAAGGGGGATGGCCGGGGTTGGGGGCCTGCCACCCTGAGCCCTGGTTGCCTGGTTTGCAAGCCAGGGAGGGACTTCTGGAGGGGATAAAAGCAGCAGCCAAACTGGTGTGGGAATTGCTGACAGTGACTCTGGGGAACGATGCAGGAGGCCCAAGAAGAGCTGGGGTGAGCTGACCCAGCGGAGAGAGCAGAGAGACCCCTCTGAAGAGCCTCAAAGGCCTTGGGAGAAGGCAGTGGGCCGTGCCTCCAGCCCTGCAGCAGAGAGGGATCAGAGGCCAGGGCTTGAGGCAGAAAGCTGGTGCCCCAAGGCCCTATCGCAGTGTGCTGGACGTGCCAGGCATCCCAGAGGCTAGGGGTGGCAGTCAGGCCCCCCACTCCACTGCGGAGAAGAGGCAGTGGCCAGGAGCACAGGTGGCATCCTTATCCGAAGCAGGGAGCTGGGCTGGTGAGTTGAGGAAACCCCTTACCTTCCCTGGGGAAGTGGGACAGCAGCAGGCAAGGCACTGGGATCCTGAGGAGCAGCAGAGCGCCAGGACGAGGGTCCTTGGGAGCTTGGGGCACAGGTCAGCGCTTGGAGTGGGATTGGTGAGCCGCAAGGCGTGTGGGGTGCCCAGCCAGTCATCTGGAGCAGGGGTTTGGAGCAACAACCCCTGGGAGCTGCCTGTGCTGCTGACCCTCTGCCACTGACTGCCCCAGAGGGGACTCAGTCCTGTCCCTTATTCTGCAGCTGATTGTCATCGGATGGCGTCCCTGAGCTTTGTGGCTGGGTCATGCCGATTGCTGAAGGAACCTACTTTGTTGCTTGCCTTTTTGGTTGCCACGGAGGGTCACCCTTCAGCCTCTTTGTGGGGTTGGGGTTTGATACAATTTGATTGCTGCAGTCCAGAAGAGCTTAACCTGTTGCAGTCTGTCGCTTACTGGGAAGCCTGTTGGAGCTGCAGGGAGTGACCACCTTGCTTCCTTGCACCTCAGCAGTGGCTGAAAGCTGCCAGTTACCCCACCTGTGGTTCTTGGGTCAAGGGTTGACTAATGCATTCTGGTTTGTGTTGTGATTCTGGTTATGCCATTTAAGTTCACTTGTAAATAACCTTTCCTATTATTCTTGTTTTGTAAATAAAGTGTAAATAGTTAAATCAGTTAAGTGTTAGACCTTCTTGGGACCATGGGCTGCTCTGTGGGGAGCAGGGGCCGGCTGGAAAGTAAATTGGTGCTGGCCAGAAGCCCTGCCCCACTCTCACCACCATCCCTGATATTGGGCAGGGGTGGCAACTATTGGTCTGCCACTTGGGTGACAATTTGTTGTACTTTTTATCAACTAAAGTGAGAAGAAATAGATACTTTGTTCATACATGTAGTTTAAGTTGGTTATGCTTAACTGGCAGACTAGATATGATCTGAGCTTAAAGGGGCTGTATGTTCACAGATTTCATTGAAGGGGCTTTAATATAGCTTTGAAAAAATGAGTGATAAAATAATTCCTTCTCTGAGTATTCCTCAGCAGGGCTGCTCATGAAAATGGTTTGCTCTGGTACGCTGAGGCAACGATATGTGTTTTATTCCGTTAAAGTGTGTGGGATCAGTATCGGGCTTGTAATACATGTGCATAGTTTCCACTATCTTCAAAAGGAATTTGGCTCAGGGCTCCTGTTCCTGAATTACTTGTACACAAGCTCTCTATAAAGTTCAGAGAAATTCTTAGGTTCATAGTAAACATGGACCAGATATTCAGAATCTTCCATGTTTGTGCCTTGTATTTGCAGATGCTGGGTGGCAGGTAAATGATGAAACTCAGTGATGCTTGGAGACTAAATATGTAAGTGCACCTGTGTATATCTCTGTGTTGGTATGTCTTAATCATATTCCTAGTTAAAGCTTAAGTGCACTTGTACATGTGATGGGGTTTTAGTCCTTAGGGTTGCATTCTATGCTTCTTAAATTGAAACAGTTTTTTATTGAAATGCTAGGTTTTATTTTTCCATCGCTGTATATATGTTATTGTCCTGGCAGCTGCAGGCACCCACTGAAAGCAGAAGTACAAGAGGCCCAATCCTTTTTCTTTTTTTTCTGACAGAGCCTGCCCATGCCTCCTGCAGCTGGGGGACCATTAATCTGTGCCATTAACCTGTCAGCTTGCCCCCTGGCTGTGGGAGAGGTGGACATGCTCCACAAAAAAAAAAGGATCAGACCCTTTGCTGCTTCTGCCTTCCACAGGCTTCTGTGGCTGGCAGGACTCCTGGGGCCACCTGGGGATGGCTTGCCCCTGGGGCAGCACCGGGAGGCAGCAGGAGGGTGGCTGGGTGTACAGGTGGCTAGAAAAGGCATGGAGATAGTGCATAGGGCATTGGGAGCCCGGGCAGGCTTGGGGAAGCTAGTGGCCCATCTGGGCAGCCCCGCACCTCATGCACCATCCCCACCACCTTCTCTGGCCCCCAGCTCCCCACCACCTTCTCTGGCCACCAGAAAATCCAGATGCCCATCTGCCACCTCCCTGTGCTGCCCCAGGGGCAGGCCAAGCTGTTCTTGGGTGGCCCCAGGTGTCCTGCCAACTGCAGGAGCCTGCTGAAGGCAGAAGCAACAAGGGGCCTGATTCTCTTTTTCTGCGGAGCCTGTCCATCTCTCCCATGGCTGAGGGGCAAGCTGACTAATGGCTGCAACGTTCTAAGTTGCAATGTTGCAAACTAAACTATACATCAGGATGTAGTTTAGTATGCAATGATGCAAACTCATTTAAAACCCCCAAAACTTGTGTATGTGTAATGTGTGTCACACCGTTAAGCTACACAAAATACATTTTCATCACGTGTACATCATGATGACATCACATGTACGAACGCCCTAAGATTCCTGGGAGCAATGGCAAAGAATGAAGAACCTGTTCGAACAATGGATCCTTGGTGTTATCTGCACATTGATTGTGTATCAGCAACCAAATCCAGGCAGGGAGAAATCCATCACAGATTTCTGTGGAGTTACTCTAAATTTATACCAATGTACCCAAGACAGGACTTAGTCCAGTGAGAGAGACTGCATAGAAAAACAAATTAGCTGTTGTGTAACATAGGGAAGTGGAGTCTATAACTTGAATGGGTAAAGTAGCATGGTGGAACTGGAAATGAACAGGCTAGATTAGCATATCCTGTGCCGTCTTCAAATTGGGCTCAATTTGTATGCGTTTGTGATAAAAACATGGGAGCTTACCCAGTGTAAAAGCTGTCTACTATTTAGAATTAGTGGTTGAATTGAATTTAAGAGGAGCTGCACTTGGTTGTCTCATTGCACTCGTTTAATCCACTGCAATTAGTGTGATAATTTTATTTCCTCATTTGACAAAATGGGCCCACTGGTACTGCAGTGTATACAATGCAAAAACCAAAAATCTCAAAAATCTCCATGCCAAGTGTAACTATTTAGAATAACATGGTCAAACAATGCAACTGGAATTGGAAATGCATGCTCAGTATTTTCTTATTTTCTCCTTGATCTCTAAGCTGAGTTTATACAGTCCTCTTTGATCACCGGGACTAAAATCACTGGGGGAATGATCTGCTTCTGGTAGTTTCCTTCAGTGGAAAAACCCAGGAAGATTTCCAGGCATAAAAATAACATACAAAAGTCTTGGGAAGGAGGGGCAGTTCCTGAGGTTATTATATAGCGGTAGGGTTTGGTCCTCTAATGGGATGGGTAAGAAGTTCAGCTTCCAGAAACTGTAGATCTCTGAAATTCACATATATTTAAAAGGATCCAATAGAAGTCAGAGGCAACTGCAAGCCTTTGAGACTTTGCATGGTCTCCAAGGCTGTCTCTTCTATTCCATGGCATCTCAAGTCCATTGCAAATGAGCTCACAATGGGTACTTTTTTACTCATTATGAGGTTCAGTCCTTCAGGGTTGCATTCTGTGCCCCTTAAATTGAAATAGTGTGTTTTATTTTTCCATCGCTGTATACATGATATTGTCTTGATGGCTGCAGGTGCCTGTTGAAGGCAGAGGCAGCAAGGGGCCCGATCCTTTTTTTTTTTTTTTTTTTTTTTTTCAGCAGTCTGCCTGCCTCTCCTGCAGCTGGGGGGTGAGCTGCTGGCGGGCTGAGCGGCCGCTGAGCTATGGGGGGCTCTGGTCCTTCCCTCCATGGGGCTGGCCAGGCAGGCTGCTAGCAGGACAGGTGCTGCCCCAGCTCAGTGGTGCCAAATTCAACTCTTCTCCAAGCCTGCCCAGGCTTCCAGTACCTATGCACCATTCCTGCCACCTTCGGCCACCAGCACACCCAGCCGTCCTCCTGCCACCTCCTCCAGCTGCTCCAGGAGCAAGCCAGCCCATTTCTAAGTGGTCCCAGGTGTCCTGACAGCCTCAGGTGCCTGCTGAAGGCAGAAGTGGTGAGGGACCTGATCCTTTTTTTCAGTGGACTCTGTCTGCCTCTCCTGTGGCCAGGGGTTGAGTTGACAGATTAATGGCTGCAATGTTCCAAGTTGCAACATTGCAAACTGAACTACATTGGGATGTGGTTTAGTTTGTGATGATGCAAACTCATTTAAAACCCCCAAAACTCATGTATGTGTGAAATGTGATGCCATTAAGCCATACAAAAGGAAATTTTCATTACGTGTACATGGTAACATCGTCACATGTGCAAGCACCCAATATAACCCAAATTATTTAAGGCTAGTTGGTTACTGTACAATGTGCCTGAATATGGAGTAATCCTGAGCTGCAATGGGACAAGTGCAAACCAGAAAACAGATTATGACATGGAAGCAGAATAGATATTCTTCTCTTACTTTTCACTGTGCCAAGTGAGTTGCTCTAGGCCTTTATGTTTATGAGGGTCAAGCAAGGGCTCTTGTAACTTGCTCTTTTCTTTTTCCTATGCAGTTGTTTACAGATTTACAACTAGATATCCTGCTCTCCTCCTACTCCTACAGATATAATTTGTTCAAATTGTAAAGCTGAGGGTGACCATACACACCTGAATAAGGGCCAAGAGACTTTCAGTCACTGGTTGAAGGTCAGGGTTGTGATCCAGTGCCTGATTAAATCTGTGGGCCTGTTTGCATTGACTCCAGCAAGTTTTGAACCTGGCCCTTCATGAATATGCTCTCTATTTTCATTAGAACATTCCAGTGTGTTTCCTTTCTGACTCTTTAGTCCCCTCAACTTTATATTAAAATTTTCAATAAGCCCTTGTTGTGACTATATTGTTTAATTGGGACATTGCCAGGAAACTTTATATTTAAAAAGCCCAAATAACTGTTAAAGTAGTATAAGTCATATAACCCTCTCCTGTAAATTTCCTGCAACCTTGCCTGGGACACATGCAGCTGTTTTAGGTAGGAATGAGGCAGATTTGCACTTGTGTAGTGTATGCTCTGAGTGGGCCCTGATCCAATAGAAAGACTAGGGGGAGAAAGATGAAGAGTGGGGGAGGTATGGTGAAAGCATTTCAGCTGTATTTAGCATAGCTGGATCATGCTGTTAGATTGATAGCTAGGAGTTACAAGGTACTGCTGCTGTGAGGAACAGCTCATCTAAAGCTGAATGAAAACCAAAATGAGGAACTTTCAAAACAGCTATCAGTAGAAATTATTCATTGCTGTACATGTGTGTGTGCACATGTATGCATACACACAGAATGGAAATTAGATGTGCAGGATGCAGTGGCACTTTTTATGGTGATTTTTGTGCGTTGTTTCTACTGTCAAGAGCAACCACACATCAGGTTACAATAATGACTGAATAGCAGATGGGGGAAAGTGAACCATTACAATTAAACTGTGGCTAACAGCACCATCCCCTCTCCACCCCTCCTTCCTTCAAGCTTTCCCAGCAGGCTTCTACTGTTTCTCTGCTCAACAGCCAGCTACTGTATCTTTTGCCTGGAAGTGACTTGCTTAGAACTGACAATTCCAATGGTCCTGAAGATCGACATGCTGGGACCACCTCACATGAGCAGCAGTTGTGAAAACCTGGCTCTTCCATCCACCATGAAAGTAAGCTCATTATGTCATTGTCAGAGGAAGCTGCCAGGACATGGATAGAGAGGCTGCATTTATTCATTTTGGTATTCCAGATGGGAAAGCACTGCCCTGATTCTAGCCTAGCAAGCTGGCTACCTGTGCATTGTATTGACTTTATACTTAGAGTATACAGATGTAGTGTACTCCCAGTGAACAAAGGAAGGAGGTTGTGAAGGATTTCTAGTAAAGCATGTTAAGTATATATAATTTTTATAAAAAAAAGAAAGTTTGGAATCTTTAATCAATGTTTTTCATTACCAAAAAAAGACCCCCCCCCAGTATGTTTTTTAAAAGGGCTTTTAAAAAATGCAAGTTATGACTGGAAATTGCTGATCTGCTCTAATGCTTAGTGCATATCTGCACTGCCTCCTAATAGCACCACAGAGTGTTGCAGAAGAGCAAAGCTGCCAGTCATCTCCCTACTCTGTTCATGCTGTCTGTCATTTTTCTTGGCGTGTGCCCAGGTCTGCTCCAGCATTGCATTTGCTTCTGGATTTAATGTACACCCAGTGGTACACAGCTCTCCACTGCAGTATCCCCAAGCCTGGTCTAGAGTACTAAAGAGACACTGTTATTCATGTTTCCTGAAACATGGTTATAATAAAATGAGCCTGCACCTGTGGATTCACTGCATGATATTTATGCTGCCACCAGAATTGGAGCCTTTTATCCTATGAACAGTCATCAAACTCAGTGGGATTGCTTGCGAATAAGAACAGCAGGCTTAGGCTTAGTGAAGGTCTTGCTCCCGTTGCAGTCAGTGGCAGAACTCCAGCTGATGTTAATGCATAGGATCAGGCCCAGCATGGATTGTAACATCCGTCTTTTGCCTAGAGGTGCATCATGTTTCAATTGCAGGACAATCCTCACAGAGGTTCTGTGCCCTTGCTGCCTGTTCACCATGCTAGCATGACCCCCATAGAACCATGTTACTAGGGCTTTCTTCTATCCAGTCACCACTACATGCATGATGCCCCCAAAGGAGACTTTGAAACCAAAGAGGAACTCTGCAGATAATTAATTCCTAAGATAACCTCAGAAGGGTTGGAGAGAAGACAATGGGCATTTTTACTCCCTTCCCATCAACCCTTCTCCCCTACCACTCGAAGATCAATTGACTGTCCATTTTTCACTGTCATTTCTTTTTCCTTTCCTTTGTGGATCCTAATCCCACAGTGTGGGAGAGGTGGGGGGCAGGGGGAGGAGGGAAGGAAATACTGCCACAGATACAGACAGAACTCCTATCATCTCTAGGCACAGTTTTGGGGTATGGTGGGAAAAGAGCCAATACAACTACAACAATCATGTCCTAATCAAAAGATAGAAGCACAGTTAGCTTCAGCTACATCTTGGAGATAAAATGGAACCCCTTGGCTCTTTAAATTGCCGTTCCACAGCATTCTTTCTACTATTTTGCTGGTTGCTACCAGACTCAGCCCTGTGTTCCCTGTTATGCGTCTCTTTTAACGTAAACAGAAAGATTTGGATGATTGGTTCAAACCATTGAGTTCTGTTACAGGACACCTTCACAGTCTCCAGTGACCTTGAAAACTCTCATCCCCTTTGACTCACCTTCCACGGCTTGATTGGAGAAGAAAATACAACAAAGGGGGTAGATGGTAGATGTTGTGACTGTAGGTGCTTGGTATGCTGGTCTCTGCTGCAGGGCTTCACCACCCCTTATACCAGGGGTGGGCAAAATACAGCCCATGGGCCGGATCTGGCCTGTGAGGCCATTCTATCTGGCCTGTGGGGCCCCTAAAAAATTTAGAAAATTAATATTTATCTTCCCTTTGTTCCTGTAAAAAATGACAGGAACCAAGGGCAGTAGGACCCAGGCTCTGGACAGCCCCATGGGCTGTGAGCGGCTGCAGCAGGGAGTGCCAGCCACGGGGTGGGGAAGGGGCTGCTTTTCCCTGTGCTCAGCTTTTCCCCAGGCTCCTTCCTGGGGCAGAGGAAAGTGGC